TATATATATAGTTTTAATATGTATTCTATTGTGCAATTTTTGTCCTTTTACCTTTAAAATAGGTTTGCAATATCGGGCGCCTGGTTGCCTCAGCTCGTGGGGCACGCAGCTCTTGACCTCTGGGTCATGAGTTCGAGCCCCACATCGGGCTTAGAGATTACTTAATAAATAAATACGTAAATAAATAAATAATAAAATAGACTTGCAGTCGTCGCGAACAAACTAAGTTCCAGAATTAAATCTGATTCCCTTCACTTTGCACCGTCCATTAGCACATGAGCATGCCCCTCCGGCAGAGCCTATCCAGAACTCCACCCGAGAGAAGGTCTACAGAATGTGGTTCCCAGGCTTCCAACAGAGAGATCATAAGGAAGGATGGGAATGGGCTTAAGTCTCGATAGATAAAACCTGACACGATCCCTGTTTTGCAGGTGAGGAAATGAAATCACAGAGTTTAAATCATTTCTGTACGGTCACATAATTAAGTGGCAGAGCTGGGATTCAAACTGTTTTCATCAAAGTCCTTAAGGACAGAAACTTTGTTGTATTTTGATTTTTAATTCTCTCAGACAAAACAGGCTAGAGATGCTATGACTCCAAAATGTTCAATTTGGCCAGGTGAGTACAAATTGCCATCACCGAAGACGTAGAATTATCAGCAGCTCATAGAAGGTTTTAATACGACTGACTTTGAAATATACATTCAAAACTTCATTCTTTCTAAAGAACGCATCTAATCTCTGCTTACATGTTTATAATCAGATATGTAAAAGAAACAAAACAGAAGATCACCACATAAATCTCCCCAAATTTTCCACATTATACCACAAAACCACCAGCATGTTGTAAGACGGGACAGACATCATCCAAAAACAGGAGTACTATTTACAAGATGTTTTCAGTAATTTTCTTCCCGATCTGAAAATCTAAGGAATACAACTGGAAGTTCTCTAACTGGTTTTAATTGCTTTATAATCTTTAGAAAGGCAGGAGTCGAGGGGTGCCTAGGTGGCTCGGTCGGTTAAGCATCCGACTCTTGATTTCTGCTCAGGTCGTGATCTCACAGTTCGCGGGTTTGAGCCCCACATCAGGTTCTGCACTGACAGTGTGGAGCCTGCTTGGGATTCTCTCTCTGCCCTTCCCCTGCTCGCGTGTGTACACGCGAACTCTCACTCTCTTTCAAGACAATAAATATTTAAAAAATTAAAAGTCAACATCCTTTTCAACCATTCCTTCCTTCATTCATTGGTGCCCCAAACATGTGTTATACCAAGCACGTAGCAGGTACTGGAGATAGAAACAAAGTCATGGTCTAGCAGGGAAGTAAGACAGACAAATTATTTTTTTCTATGCCACTGGCACCTATAACATTTCTACCCATCTTTAAAGTTCAGCTCAAGTGCTACCTTTTTCAGGGCATCATCTTTCTCTTTGCTTCAAGAAGAATTAGCCTTTCTCTCTTCCATGTTTACAGGGCAAATTGGGAATCTCCTAGCAGCCCTTAGTATGTAATAATTACGTAACTCTCTCATTGCTTCTGTATCACCTAGTGCAAAAGCATAGTGTCTATAGTAGGAACAGGGTAGTGTTTGATACTGAACTTAATGATAAAGACCTCACCTTTTGCAAATGGAAAAAAAAAACCTCTCACCACTGTTGGTGGGAGTGAAAATTGATGGAATCTCTTTAATGGGAAATTATATATCTTTCAAAAATGTAAATGCACAAATTCAGCTTTAACAATTATAACTCTGGTAACCTATTCTACAGAAATATTCATAGATGTGTAAAATAAAAGAGTATTCGTTGGAGCATTGTTTATAACCGCTTTAAAATTTCATGGGGTGCCTGGGTGGCTCAGTCGGTTAAGCGTCCGACTTCGGCTCAGGTCACGATCTTGCAGTCCGTGAGTTCAAGCCCTGCGTCGGGCTCTGTGCTGACAGCTCAGAGCCTGGAGCCTGCTTCTGATTCTGTGTCTCCCTCTCTCTCTGGCCCTCCCCCATTCATGCTCTGTCTCTCTCTGTCTCAAAAATAAATAAACGTTAAAAAAAATTAAAATACTCCTTTAAAACAATAATAAAATAAAATTTCATAAAAACAGAATATCCATCAACAGAGGAATAATTGATTAACTGGGATAATATGGAGCAAATTAAAAAGCATGATGTGGATTACTATGTCATGATACGAAGAGATAAATAGAAAAAGCAGAATAAGACACATGTGTAATGAAATTGCATTTATATAAATGAAAGAGATTACCACTAGGGAGTGAATATAGGATAACTGGATGTTCTGGAAATTTTGGTTTCCATTTTAATCCTTCTATATTTAGAGGGTTTTTGTTTTGTTTTGTTTTTTGTTTTTTTACCATGGGAATGAATTATCTTAAGTATGTGTGTGTGTGTGTGTGTGTGTGTGTGTATACATGTGTGTGTATGTATATGTGTGTGTATATATACATACATACACTTGTGATAATACTGTCTATCTGTTGTATGCTTAGTATTTGTGCTTTCTGAGTACCTTCATTATTCAACGTTTCCAAATACTAGATCAAAAAACAGAATATAATTAATAGAATTACATGCACTAACATGGAAAATACGTTCTGCTATATTGTTAAGCAAAAAAGCAGGTCATAAAATCACATGGAAATTATGATCCCATCTTTGTTTGAAACTACCTTTTTATTTTTATTTATTAAAGGTTTGATTTTTAACTAATCTCTATACCCAACATGGGGCTTGAATTCACAACCCCAAGATCAAGAGTTGCATGCTCTACCCACTGAGCCAGCCAGGCATCCCTGAAACCACCTTTTAAAAGATACGTGTTATGGGGCACCTAGGTGGCTCAGTCAGTTAAGCGTCTGACTCTTGACTTCAGTTTAGCTCACGATCCCAGGGTTGTGGGACCAAGCCGGAGTTGGGTTCCCTGCTGAGCGTGGAGCCTGCTTGAGGTTCTCTCTTTCCTTCTGCTTCCGCTCATCTGCCCCACTCTTGCGTGCTCTCTCTCAAATATACATAAATACATTAATTAATTAATTAAATTCCATGGTGATTTCTCTGCAAACAGGAGGAGGAGCAGATACGGTATAAGTTGATTAATATGGACTGAAGCCTTTACCATAGGCAAGAGTGTTCAAATACATTTGACCCAAATGAACTTTATTTCACATGCATATGCGTAAAGGAATAACGTGAGCGAGAATTCTTTCCAGTGTATACTTCAAGCAGGAATCATGGCGCGAGGTCCCGCTTCAATCTTCTGCACTCCCTCCTGATGAAACGATCCAGTTGACTGACTCTTCTGCCCATTCCCAATACCGGAAGCACTCTCCCACGCCCCCGTGCCTCTCTCATTTTGCTCCATTTACACACTCTAAACAGCATGCCCGCTTCTGGTGTCTATAGAAGTCTTTAAGGACCTGCCCAGCTCTTACTTCTACCTTAAGACTTTCCAAGATTGCCCCAGACTAAATATACCTTTCCCTGTTATTGTCTACTATTCTACTTCTACTGGTATCTCTGCCGTTATAGTCTGGGTTGTATTACAGTTTTGTAGTGTATGGGTGCGTATTCCTACCAGATTGTGAATCTCTCAAGATTAGGGCATAGCTCAATCTGACTTCAGTATGGCTTGCTTCTTTCCACATGTTAAGCGTTTAAGGGATGCTGTTTGAGAGCGTTAAGGGATGCTGTGCGGGGCGTTCGTCCCAACTACTCCTCACCTCCACCCTCACAGATGGCAGGGCCATTTTAGTGCGTTTCTAAAGCACAAGCCCAAACCTACAAAGCAAGGAGCTGATTACAGAAGTACTTCCCTCTTTAGCCGTATTCTGTCCCACAGAAATCATCTGAGAAGCATGCCCTCCCACTTCCGTTCTTTCACTCTCCTTATCTGAGACATTCATACATGACTCACTTTGAAACTCATCCTCCAAAGTCAAATAGGAGTCAAAAGTGAGGAATTCCGTCCCTCGTCATCAAAAACGAAGAGAGAGGGGAAAGAGGAATGGTTCAGCAAGTTTCCTAAATATACTTCATAACTTGATTGTGGGTAAGAGTGAAGACCAGGCTGGACGTGTGGGGACCTCCAGGCTGGTGCTGAAACCTTCAGCTAGCGTCTCAGGTTTTTGGTAAGAAAAGCTTACATCCACCTGGTCCCTGGTGCTTGTTTCCTTGTTACGGATAATGGTTTGAGGGTTGTTATCCTCTCCCTCCCCCCCCCCATTCCTTCCCCAGCTTGTATTGTTTTTGTTGTGT